GCAGGGCTGCAAAGCTCGGCTCCGGCTGAACCCCGGGAAGCGCGGCGCAGCGCCCAGCTCGCGGCAGGACTCCAGGCAGGCGAGCCTTGCAGCCCGCTGGGTGCCGGCTGGTCCGTGGGGGACGGCGCCGCGCTCCCCTGAGCGTCCCCCACCTTTTCCCTGCTCTTCCCCTGGCTCCCCGCAGGCAAAGGGCTGCAGGACGGGCGGCAGCTCCCGCACCCACCAACCTGAACGTCGCGAGCGTGGGTGTCTTCTCCTCCAAACCACCTCCTGACCCTCTGCCAGCAGCAACCGCAGCCCAGCAGCCTGCAGGTTTAACTGCTGCCTGAGCTCGCTGAAGGCACCCACGCGCTCCCTTCCCCTGGGGACCAGACACTCAGCAAAGCTCCCGCGGGCCAGGGGAGCCGGGCACGGCGCTGGAGGGAGCGAAGCAGAGCGGCCTCAAAACAAGCAGGTTAAAGACAGAAACCACTTCCCAACTTGCGAGTCCCACGGGAACAAGTCAGAGCCGGACGGACGCAGCCCAGGAGGAAGCCCCCACCACGACGGGGATGCTGCGTTTCGGCAGCCACCACCGTGGCTGCTCACTTCTTCTCAAGGAAGGGGTTGAAAAGTCCCCAGTCAAACGCGAGCATGGCCTGGGGATTGGGCCGCTCCTTGGGCTTCTTGAAGTTATCCTTCTCGGTGCGGAGGGTCCTCAGCACCTCCACTGGGTCCGTCTTGCCCGTGAACTTCTGCAAGGGCTCCTCCCTGCAAGGAGACCAGCTCTGCTGTGACCGCGGGGGACGGGATGGAGACCCACCTCCCCGCTGGGACCCCAGCGCGCGCCGGGACAGACAACGGGGGGAGTCACATCCTCGTGCCAGGTGGCTGCTGGGGCGCACAGGGCTTGTCTGCGGGTACCCCGTGCTGGGCAGTGCAGGGCCCCGCATCCAGGCAACCCTCCCCTCCCTCGGGACTTGGATCCCCCACCAGCTAGTGAAGCCACGCGAGAAGGGATGACGCTGGAGGGAAAAGGGGAGCAGAGTTTGGGGGCAGGACCAGCCAGCCGGGACCTGCAGCCAGCCGGGGCCTGCCCGCCCCCGGCTCGGTCCAGGGTTGACCTACGGCGGGGCCCTTCGCACCCCCAAGGCACCGGCGCTGCTTACGTGACCCGCAGGAAGGGGTTGTAGAGGAACTCCTCCTGCAGCGTGGAGGGCACCGTGGGCAAGTCCTCGTCATCCCGCTGCTGCCGAGGAACCAGAAATATCCAAAAGCCCGCCGGCATCCGACACCCCTCTCCGCCCCCACCCCGGCAGGGGCACAGCCACTTACTTTGGCCCACGCGAGTTTCTTCTTCACCATTTCATTCTCCGGTTCCACTTTCAAGGCGAACTTGAGGTTTCGGACGGTACATTCGTGGCCGCAAAACACCTTCTGCAATGCCAGCGGGAAGCACCCGGCGTCACACGTGCGCCCGGTGCTGGGTCCAACCCATCCTGGTCCCACTGCAGCCCCAGCCCCGGGGACGGGCGCTGCCTCCTGAGCGGTGCCAGCCTCAGGCCCCCTCCTGATTTTGGGGTCCCTCCCCAGGCTGGGGTTGAGATGCAGGGCACTCACCGTCTCCTTCGGCAAAGCCCCCAGGATTTGGGTGAGGTTGGCGTACATCTGCTCCGCCGTTCCCTCGAAGAACTTCCCGCAGCCTCCCACAAACAGGGTGTCACCTGCGGGGAAAGGGGTCTGGGTCCGGAGGGGACCCTGGTCCCGCTCCCAGGGCCGGGGTGCCGGGTGGGAGCCTCCACACGCTGGATTCGCCCCATGAGCGCCGAGCGTGGGGAGGAAAGGCAGCACGCGGGCAGCATGCCCCGTGTCCCCGGTACCCACGGTGCGCACGTTAGCAGGGTGGGATACCTGAGAAGAGAGCCGGAGCGTCCGGGGAGCCGTCCTCCCACATGAAGTAGCACATGTGGCCCGAGGTGTGGCAGGGGGTGAAGAGGCACCTCACCCGGATGGCCCCGAACTGTGGGGAGAGAGGGTCAGGACCCCCGGTGGGGTCGCCCTGGCCCTGACGGGCAGCCAGCCCCCCCGTGGACCTCCCCAAGCCCCATGGCATCGCCCGCCCGGGGCTCAGCGGGTCACAGACATGCCGGGGGACGGTGGTTTGGGCAAGTCCCGGGTTGCACG